CGTCCATATGAAACAGTGCCACCATGGCCCAGGGAACAAAAATTTACTGTGTCGCCATGTTCTGGAACATTCTAATAAAATGATGTTGTCTAACAGAGTGATGTATTCATGTAGAAAATGTCAAACAATTTTTTCAAAAGCAGGCGGGCTGTTGACACATCTAACAAAGAAACACAAGATATATCGGTGGATACCTCGTACCTTTATACAATCCATGAAATCTATATAATTTTCATTTAACTTTGTTTTCTCCTTTACAGAACACATCTACACAATAGGTTATCATTTTAATTCAGTATTCTATTGATTTATGAAGCCCTAAAATACATGGAACAGATACACCTGCCATATAAATTCTCAAGTCTTTCTCAATAGTTGAAAATGATAATTTTGTAGATTTCCCTGATGGTATGTCATGGATTGTAAAAAAAAAAGTATGTTCTTTCACCATGTATGAGTATGACACATTATTTTTAAACTTGTTTTGCTGATATTAATTTGTCATACTCTTGTTTTTTATTTCACTAGATATATTATGAGTTACAATCATTACTATTGTTTCATCAGACCTAACTTGTCCTTTTACTGTTGTTTCATCAGACATAACTTGTCCTTTTACTGTTGTTTCATCAGACATATCTTGTCCTTTTACTGTTGTTTCATCAGACATAACTTGTTATTTTACTGTTGTTTCATCAGACATAACTTGTCCTTTTACTGTTGTTTCATCAGACATAACTTTTCCTTTTACTGTTGTTTCATCAGACATAACTTGTCATTTTACTGTTGTTTCATCAGACATAACTTGTCCTTTTACTGTTGTTTCATCAGACATAACTTGTCCTTTTACTATTGTTTCATCAGACATAACTTGTCCTTTTACTGTTGTTTCATCAGACATAACTTGTCCTTTTACTGTTGTTTTACATGATAAGACTTCTCAATATTCTTGTTGCTTAACTTGTTATTTTACTGTTGTTTCATCAGACATAACTTGTCCTTTTACTGTTGTTTCATCAGACATAACTTGTCCTTTTACTGTTGTTTCATCAGACATAACTTGTCATTTTACTATTGTTTCATCAGACATAACTTGTCCTTTTACTGTTGTTTTACATGATAAGACTTCTCAATATTCTTGTTGCTTATTTTTTTTAAAATTTTTTTTTAGTAATTCATTAAATTTCCAACTAATTGAATACATATTAAATAAAAAAAAACCAATGAAATAAGCAACATTTTGTTTATTTCTTTGAATTACTAAACCATGTACCAGTCAAATGTCATAGAATGTCAGACAGAAGAGAAAGTATATCTAATAGTAGTAATATGCTACACACTTTTAACCTGAGCTGAAAAGGATTTAGGGGGTGTCAATAAATGACCCTATACTACCAAGGGTTTGGGCTATAGACCTATGTAAAGATATGTGTAGAGGAAGTGTGATATCATACTCAGATGTGTCACAAGGGGACGCCAAAAATAAATAGCAAAATATATAGAAGGAAATTGTATGTTTTTACAAAACCATTTCAGATAATAAAAGAGAAGTATTACAACTGCAGTTCAGCACCTCTTCTGTTAAATTTAATAACTTCAGAATATTTTATTTCAGCACAAAATGGCATGTTCATATTCCTTTGTAATTTTGTAACATTGACTGCTCAACTGAGAAGTTTCTGAGACATTTCTTTAAATACATTTTCAGCGCATCACTAAGCTAAATCATTTATAGTTTCTATGGTCAAAACAACATTTATAGCATTTAAGCATTTGTATAATATATTTTAATTATTTTTTACTTTGTAATATTAGTAATAAGTTAAATGGAAACATTTTTTTTTAAATTACTATAAAAAATGCATGCTTCGAAATAAAATGACTGTGGAAAGGTAGGTAGATCCAGAGGCGTATCCAGGTTTTCGTTGTAGGGGGAGCGAAAAGAGCAAAAAAAGGCGCCGAATTTTTAACACTTTCTATATACGTGTATTATATATATATATATATATATATAAATATATATATATATATATATATATATATATATATATATATATATATATATATATATATATATATATATATATATATATATATATATATATAATCACTAGATGTATGTCATTACTTCGCTATGATGTAAAATAAATTGAAAGTAGCACTCTGAAGAAATAAGAAAAAACACACAATGTAGGCCGACAAAAGAAAAATTGTATCAATCTAAACAAAACAAAATATACACACACTACAACCAAAAACAATGAACGTAACAGGTCGTAACACATTCTGTTTTGTAATTCTTCGAAAAAAAAATTCATACATAATAATGCCTGTGAAATTATTTATGACAAGTGAAAAAGGGGAAATAATCACTCTCGTATTATTAATATGTATTTATCTACACATTTAATTATAAATGTCAAAAAAATAAATACTTACTTTAGATTATATTGTAATTGTTTAACACTATTCGTGTTTACAAAATGTTTTTGTCTATAATCAGAATTTAATATTTCGTCATCATAAATGCTAAAGTATTACAGCATAATGAAAGTTTTTAAAATCAGAGTTGGTATAAAAACACGCTTTTCGAAATAATAGAAAAACATTTGGAATAACATCCTACATTTAACTAAATATTGGTCTTTTAGTTCAGATCATATATTTTAATTAACTACTGCTTCTTTGAGTTCGTTAAAGATCATTTTTGACATAGTAATAGGTATGGGTTAGATCACTGTATTGATCACACCCCTTTTTACTGATAATTGCAAAAACAATATTCACAGAGTTTTACGTTTAAAAAGCTAATTTTCTGGTGGCATGGTACTTTGGTACATCGTTACGCGTTTTTCTACATGTACTTAACAGATCAGTTAGGGGTGGGTTGGGGGTGGGGGGTGGGTTCACCTTCATTCACCACTGTCAATTATCCAACCCAGTGTATACCTAGGTGTGACATTAATGTCGCTCTACACAATTGTGGTGGTGAGGTGTGTGTGTGGGGGGGGGGGGGGGGGGGGGGGGGGAGAGAGATAACCAACTCAGAGTGAACATAGCGTCAGTTTTTAGATGACTGTTCTAAACATACATATATATTACACAAATATATATTACAGAAATAGATTTAAATAATTAGCAGTAGTATTATGACATTTTTTTTTTTACAGAGGGGTCCATGGGGGGAGGGGGTTGTAACTGTTTCATATAATTTGTAATCGTAATCACTATGGCCCAAACTGTAAGAATACTACTACTTCATCGTGATGACGTTTTGACCTTGTCAAAATGTCCACACCACTACGGAGTTTGCTCGTAAGTAAATTTAAATAGAGGTGCCACATCAGTTGTATTTGTTTCTGTATTGTAATTTTTTACAAATTAGTCACACGATTCAAACTGTATATATATATACAGTAATTATGTGTGCAGTTTTATGTATAACATTTTCTAATTCAATTATTCGTAAGCAAATACATTATACAGTTGCCTTAAACTTAACACCCCTCTTGCCAAGTGGTACTACCCGTAGAGGTTTTTTAAACATTGCAATGCCTCATACTGGTTATTTTTAGAATGGCAAACTGATGCAGCTGTTAATACGTGTTGTAAACGTAGACACTACTAGACTAGTACAATAATGCTTAATTGCTCATGAAAAGAAATCTTGTGATTTACATAGATGTGTCGACCAAAAATATTTTTTTAACAAATATCATTGTTTAAAACTTTGAGTTTAAAAAGTTTCCAAAAAGGCGCCACTTTGCTGAAAATGGCCAGAGGGGGAGCGGCCGCTCCCCCTGCTCCCCCCCTGCGTACGCTACTGGGTAGATCTATTTATCCATTCTAATTAAATGAAGTAAAAAACTAAAGAGTGATGAAAATGAATAGTGGAGACCATAGGAAGTAACAAGCGAGGACAGAACAGTTTGGCTCGTCACATCGTCCAGCTTTTCATCAACCATGAAAGAAGCCCCAAACTTTTTGAAATGACAGATAATGTGACGTCACATTTATGCATTTAAAAAAAGTAATGTTAGAAACTGAATTGTAACCATTATTTCGGGTTTTTGGAAACTGTTTTAACAAATTGCAATAGAAATTGATTGAAATACGATATGTTGACCAAATTCAGTCAATAAAAGGGAAAACAAAATTAATTCAAATGCAATTTTGAGGGGAGGGGGGGGGGGGGGCTACTCTTGGCTGAGGTGTGACCACATTATTCTAGGTCTGGCTATTTGTGACGGAGGGGAGGTAAAAATCGTGGCATCGTTTGTGGACGATCCCTTTCGACAATATAGAACTCATTTTCATACATATTAAACGTAGAGGTCGAAGTTCAGCCCAAAAATGCATATATTATTTTATAGCCTGAAAAAAAATTAAATAGCCCCCCCCCCCCCAACACCTCTACATCCAGAATAAAACGATATTGAATTTTGAAATAAAGATAGGACTACATAGTTACTATTACTTCCTTTTTTATTCAAGGAAGGGGGGGGGGGGGATGGATGGTGACTAGGTGTACATTTTGGAAATTAATGTTTTTTTTAAAATAATATATCTAGACTAGTTGCTATTAAATATGGAGGAAGTTGACTGAAGTATAATGACATGGGGGGGGGGGGGGGAAGGGAGGCTTACTGTTTTATGACGATTGGAGTGGGCTTAAAATTGAACATTTTTTATAATGTCGATTGTCGACCCACATATAGATCTAGCTAGTGTGGTTCATTTTAATTTATTTTACTTGCTTTGCCAAAAATAAAAGAACTGCATAAAAATATATTTAACTGGTTCGGTCTCTAGGCCTGATAAGTACCCCCCCCCCCCCACCCCCAGCCTAGAAGAAAATAGCGTGTGCAAAAGTTGAACCGGAAAAGATATGAAAACGTACTTCAAAACGGAAATTGTAAATTCCTGATCAAACATTGAAACAGAAATAAAGACAATCATTAGGCCTACCGATCAGATTAATGTTAGTGTGTACTGTTTGTCTGTGTTAAGCTACGCTACACTTTACAGAAGTAGCATGAGTGTTAGATCTAGAATCTAGAAATCAATAGATCTACCTGTAAAGCTAAATAATACAACTAGACTTATACAGTTTCAGTACTTGTGATCTGTTGTTGTGAGTGACACAGTTCAGTCACTCAGCCCTCAACACCTCACACGGCAGATTCCACCTGGTGTACAGTAGTCAGTTTTGTTACAGTTACACACACAAGCCCCAGTTAGTAAGTAGTAAGTACACTGTAGTACAGAGTATTGTCTGGTAGTACACACTACAGGTTTAAAGTTTATTAATTAATCAAATCTACTTTCAACTTTGACACTTTGTTCCTCTGACTGACCTGCGGTAAAATAAATCCTATTGAAACTGACTGTAAAACCGCATTTTAGCATATTTTCAAAATACTAGATTCTAGATCTATTTTATTTTATTCTCTGCTTCATGTTCACCTCCAGTTAAGTGTATTTTATTATAAACACAACCAAAACGCACAAAAACGTTAGGAAATCACTCGGCATATTTCTTTATGATTTTTTGGTTTAGTTTTTAAATTTTTTTTTGTCAAAACTTGAGAAAAATCCAAATTTTGGAAGATTGAATGTGTACTAAACTAGATCTATTTATTGAGATTTAGATTTAACTTTTTTTTTTCTTAAAGAAATATGTTCATGTCAGTTAAGATAGCCATGGTGAACTCACTGTGAACCCTTGACTATGTAACTATGTAGGGATTTTTCTCACGCTGACGATCACTCGCTATTTAATTGAAACTGTAGGCCTAATGGACACAAGCAAGAAAAGTCTCAAAGGTATTTGAGAGGCCAATTAATTAATTTAAAATCATGCACGGCTTAGTTACAATTAATAAGGTTATAAAATTCTGTCTGTCTGGTTTTTTTTGGACTTTACTAAAGATTGGATGTATTTGATGTTTTTAATATTTCCAGTAACTAAATTAAAAAAAAAAGCAAAAACAATTTGGTTTTCACGTGTAATGTCGACATAAACAATGGCATCCTGCTATTCGATAGGCTGCCATAAATTTTATTGTACACATTGTAAGCTAAAAAACGAAAAACTAGGTCATGGGGTTTAAATTTGCATTGTTATTTAAAAACTTGATCTGCAAAGTTTTGTAAACAAAAAACTAGAAGGTGGGGATGTCAGAAAGCGATCAAGGAGTTCCTGTACAGCCAATCAATGTTTGTCTTACGAAAGTGAAACATCGGGTTATAACTTAGGCTTGATGAAAATAAATAGAAATGTAGCCTTAAACTCAACAAAATATTTTCAAGTTCTCTGGATTTGTAACTGTTAAAGCATTTATTCTAAAAATATAAAATTTCTAAATTAATTTTAGGCTTAAGTTTGTATTTTTTATTATTTTTACGGTCCTAAATCTAAAAAAACACGTTTTTATTCCATGTCAACAACATTATGGAAGGATTCTCGTCAACTCGCTGGTGTCCATTAATGCTTAGGCCTATTTATAATATTTTTTTACCTTCTCTGATTAAAAAATTCATGAAAAATATTAAGTAGATCTATATCTATCCTCTAATGATTCTAATCCCAATGTTTTCCTAACATTTTTGTGTGTTTTGGTTGTGTTTATAATAAAATACACTCAAGCGGTGGTGAACGTGAAGCGGCGAATAAAATACGCTAAAATGGAGTTTTCCCTGAACTGAACTGACTTAACTTAGAGTAGAAGAAATGGCCCTAAATTAAATCCCCTAAATTCTCAAGTAGTAAACTAATATTAGTAATTTAGTAGCCTGTCTCACTTAACTCACTATGACTACATCTTTGTTAATTCCATTTATAAATAGACCTATACTAGGCCTGCTAACTCGATAGGCTCATTGTTACCACTTTCACTAATACTATAGCTATATATATTTATAAGCTACCTAACTAGAGTAGGTCTAATTGAATTATTGACAGGCCCCTTTAAAATGAAATTGAAAAATTTCCTTCTGTTCCTTCATGTCCCATGACTAACGTTTGACTAACTGTAGTTTAATCAATTTCTACATCTTTCTGGCAGATAAAACTAGAGTCTAAGTAATATCTATCCATTACATCTACAAGTTAACTTAACAAGCTCATTTAGGGACTAAAAAGAATCAAGTAACTGACTTAATGTTTAAGTCTCACTAATAACAAAAACACACAGGAATCATACCATAAACCAGATTAAAAGATGTCATATTAACACTTCAAAATATATTACTGTTATAGGAATATAATTAAAATAGATCACTAAACCAGATTGTCATACTAACACTTCAAAATATATTACTGTTATAGGAATGTAAGCTAAAATAGATCACTAAACCAGATTAAAGATGTAATACTAACACTTCAAATTTTATTACTGTTATAGGAATGTACCAGTACAAATATGGGAAAGGACTGAAAAGAGCTTTGAAAGAAGAATGGTAAGTTCTAATCAAAAAGTGAAAAATTTGCATCAGAATTTCAGTTTTCATTATTCAAGATGACAAACGCATTTTATTGATGCCATTATTTGTTTGCTTTAAAAAGCTGAAAACCACATATGGGATCGATCTACTGCCACAAAAAGGGAGGGGTTCTGACCTTACTAACTTAATAAAGAAAAATGAACTTAAGAAGAGTCCAATTTATTTTAAATTTGCTAAACATAATAATGAGAACCATATTACTTTTTTTTTTTTGAATAATTGTATTTTAAAATTGAGGGGGGTCTTGTTGTCATCAAACGATATAACATTTGCTGTCTCCTAAGTCTGGTTTCTGGCTTTTCTTGATGGTGGGGTAAAAATCTGCTGTATAACATCTCGTAATTTTGTGTTAGTATTTTAACAGCATCACTTAATTTTTATTTATTTACTCCTATAATTATTATAACATTTCCAACACCATCCATTGTCTTTTTACAAGCATCTACTTAGTTCCCTTCTGTTTTTGTTATGTATATACTTCGTGTTGTTCTGGTTATATTAAATAATTTAGGTCCTAGAGACATTACAAATGACAATTTAATAAATTGATGTACCATAGCCTAAACTTCTCACTGTAAAACTAGTACAACTACTGTAGTAATTAAACTTTGATATGTGTTCCATGCTTTTATTTTTGTGAAGTGGAAGAATGAATCTAAGTTCAAATGTCAGTATTTTTATTTTATTTTTGGTGCTTGATTACTTTTGCTGCCGACTGATGCACAATCAACCAGTGCTCCTGTTGTTTTTCAGATGTCTTGGCTGCAAGCAAGAACATTTTTGTATTCAAGCTGCGTCATTATTCCTTAGAGCTTAGTCACAAAATTATTTTTTTCCAACAAGTTTTGATCTGTCCGATCAATGAGCCATGGCTTCAACTTTTTAAAATTCCAGAACATTGTTACCTAAACATTCGGGTGAAAAGTTGAGTAGTGAAAAAAATGTGTAGGTTAATGTTACAGTGTTTTATAAAAGCAGTGTTTCATTGATTAAATTGCAGTTGAAGTTGATGTAGACAAAAAAATGGCTTCTGAAGACAACAGCCATACATTTGAAACTGTATCAGCATCAGGAACTGTCTACCTGACCCTGGACAATGAGCTTGTCTTGATTCAAAGGTTCCACCAGCATATCAAAGTGAACATCCACTATGACAAGGCTGTCTCAGTTGTGTACACACATGAAGATGGCAACAGTGTTTCAGTCACTCAGCCATGTGAAGAGAAGCTTGGTGAGGTACATGATGACCAGTCCATTGAGCAGTGTTTTTCTATAGCTCTCAGTGAGCCTGTGGTGGTTGACACTCAACTCAGTGAATGTTTAAAGATAGAAACACCGAATGCTTTGAGTGATGAGGCAGATAATTCACCCCAACTTGAATGTGCCACAAAACGTCTCTCTCGTAAGACTACGGTTAGAAATAAAATTCCATTGGAAACTAGAGTAACGAGATCATTTAAACCCAAGGAAGATAATTCCTTGAAGATCCCAGATCAGGCTGAGCCACATCTAGAGGAGCCTGATGCTGTAGACGAAGACATACACCTTAGTGATATGGAGATGGAGTCAAGCAGTTCTGACACAGAGGCCCAGGACAGCGCTGACAAACAGGAGAAAAAAGGCAAGCTGAGAAAACTTGAACAGGAAAAAGAAGTGAGCTGTGAATATTGCAAGGCAACTTTCAGGAGCCAGCAGCATTTTTTTGACCACAGAAAAGCCAGGAGGTCGTCCTTTCAGTGCAAGCACTGCAGTAAGGTTGTCCCATTCAAAGCACATCTCATGGTGCACATGCGCAAACATAAAAAATCTTCGATGGAAGAAGACAAGGGGAGCAGCGTGGAGGGTGAGAAGAATATCAAGTGTGAGATCTGTGGCCTGGCAATGTCCAACATTCCAATACTTAAAACGCACATGATGCTGCACACAGATGAGAACGCTTACAAGTGTTGCGTCTGTGGGGAGAAGTCTCACTCTATAGCCATGCACAAGAATCACATGACCACCCACGTCAAAGCTGGCACCGTGCAGTGTAAAATCTGCAATATCAATTTCCTCTCTCGCTCTGAGCTCTCCAAGCACCAGCTAACTCACGAGTTTAAGTGTAACATTTGTGATAAAGTGTTTCTCAACAAGACCAGCAGGACCTTTCATTATAAAATAGCCCACAAGGACGACATCCTCAAGTGTGAGGTGTGTGGGAAGATGTACTCGTGCAGCAAAGATCTGGAGGCCCATCTCAAGTACCACAGACAGAGGACTAGGACTCAGTGCACTATATGTGGCATCATGGTCATCAGGATAGACAAACATATGTTATCACATAGCCACAGAGAAGAGGAGGGGAAGTTGTACGTGTGCGACCAATGCCCCAAGCAGTTCAAGCAGAAGCTCTCTTTTCAGAGACACCTGCTGACCCACTCTGAAGAGAAACCTTACGCCTGCATGGAGTGTCCTAAAAGGTTTGCCAGAAGTGGCGGGCTCAACAGGCATATGGTCATCCACACGCAGGAGAAGCCGTTTGTTTGTCAGATCTGTGGGAAGGCCTGCTCGCAGATGGGGAACCTGCGCATACACATGCAGGTGCACAAGGACTGCACCAGGGGCAGTGTGCAGTGCCAGGAGTGTGGGGAGAGTTTTCTCTACAAGGCTGCCCTACAGGAGCACATGAAGGCTGCCCACTACATGGACCCTATGGAGACAAGATATTTAGACTTCCAGTCAGCTGATGTCTACTATGTTCAGTAGCAACAAGATACACTTCCAATTAGATGATTTTTTTACTGTTATCTTCACAGTTGCTTCTTGTATCATCATCCATTGATGTAATGTTAAATAAATGTTCATGTACTATATTGTTGTTGTAACAGTGATGTGTAGTTGCAAGGGTTGTGCTATCTGAATGGTATGTTACTTATGGTATGTCAGTGACCCATGTAGGTGTGTGGTAGCAAGTTGCCATCTGCACACCCTGTGTCTGGAAGTGTTAGAAGTGTAGAAAACATTGTCTTAAAGCTCCCATGTAGGTGGTGTTTCTCAAGTGCTCATGTTGTATTTTCAGATGCTCCTCACTGTTGAGAGTCAAGTGTTGATGGGACAACTCTGTCTGCCTTTATGGCTCTATTAAGTCCCCTTATTCACACAAAAATTGTGTGTATTGTTAAGATGTGTTGGTGATTTGACAATTGAAAAGTAATATTCTGATTATGGGAGATAATGCATTATCTGGTCTGACAGTAGTAATTAAGGGAGATAATGCTATGGATGGATTGTTTAATAAGGAAGTCTGTATTATATTCTATTGAAGCAAAATTAAAGAAACAGTTTCTGTAAAATGGCGTTTTGTGAGAACAATGAAATGGTTTACATGAAGGAACCAGCATGTGGCACCCTGTACATCACAGTAGATGAAACCTTCTATACCTACACCTTCAGCAACAAGATTCAGCTTAAGGTGTCACTGACAAGTCTTGGTTGTCTGGGGCTGGGCAGGGATTCTTCTGTCCAGCATGACCCAGCAGCAGGTCACTTGCTGAAGCTGGAGAATGATGACGACATGGAGACCGAATCTTTCAGAGACTTAGAACCTGTGAATGGAGGAAGAGATGAGATGGCTACAGACCTGGTTTTACACTCACCTCCTGGTACTAGCTTGATGGATATTTTATTGAAAGAAAACAAAAAAGTTGGAAGCCCCAACAAGGAAGCTGATATATTAATTGGTAGAGGTACAACTACAGTTGTAGATCCCGACCAGTCCAGAGAAAGTAATTGTGAGAATAGTAAAAGAAATGACATCAAATCTGTGAAAACTAGTTATAACAAATTGAAAAATGATGGGCATTCTGTGAAGAAACGAAGAAAAAAGTCTCCCAGTGTGTTGTCAGCTAGTGACAGAGATGGAGGGCTGGATGAAGCAAAGTGTAGCGCCAAGCTACAGGTAGCCTATGAGGTTACATGTCAGTTTTGTCTGAAAGTTTTCCAAAACCAGCAAGACTTCTACAACCACAAAAAAACTCCCAGAACAGAATCCTACAGGTGTCTGGTCTGTCTAAAGCAGTTCCCCTTCAAAGCTTTTCTCCAAGCCCACACCAAGGTGTGCCACACTGTGCGGGGTGAAAACCACGCTGAGGCTTGTACGTGTGATGTGTGTGGGGCCGACGTCAAGAACATGTTTGCTTTAAAGAAACATCTGATGTTCCACACCGAGGAATACCTATACCAGTGTTGCACCTGCGGTAAACAGTTTGTAGAGTCTGGCACCCTGAACAATCACATGACCACCCACAAGTCTGGGGGGATGATACGCTGCAAGTGTTGTGACAAGCTGTTTGCCAGCAGGGGGGCGCTGGCCAAGCACAAGCTGGCCCTGATGGAGGTCAAGTGCCACCTGTGTGGCCAGACTTTCCCCAATAAAACCAGCCGGACGGAGCACTACAAGACATTCCACCAGAGCGACATCCTCAGGTGTTCTCAGTGCAGCAGCATGTTCTCCTCTCAGGAGGAGCTCTCTGTCCACATGAAGAAGCACCAAACCTACAAGAAGAAGCAGTGCCCGACCTGCGGGAAATTATTCTCCAGGCTGGAGAAACATGTTATCACCCACAAGTCCAAGGCGGACATTGATGAGAGTGAGATGTTTGTGTGCGACAAGTGCCCCAGGAAGTTCTCCAACAGATCCTCTTTTCAGAGACATTTAAGCATCCACAGCATGGACAAGCCTTACCAGTGTCCACAGTGCACCAGGACATTTGCTGACTGCGGGGTGCTCCGCAAGCACCTGCGCAGGCATTCAGCATTGACGCCCTACCAGTGCGAGGTGTGTGGCAAGAACTTCAAGGAGCTTGGCAACCTCAACGTCCACATGCGCATCCACTCCGACACCAAGCAGTTCCCCTGTCCCCACTGCCCGCAGGCTTTCAAATACAAGAGCTCTCTGGATGGTCACCTGCGGTCCAGACACCCACAGGTGGTGCCCACACCAGTGTGTGTTGGGCCAGAAGCTCATGGACCCCTGCAGTATGACATGCAACCTGAGACACTCCCGCCTGGCCTCAGCCTCAACCCACTAGAACAGGAAACACACCCTGGGTATGACCTTGACCCCCGACTTAACCAAATAGTCCAGGACCCCCACCAAGGCTATGAGAACGGACCTGGTTGTGTTGGTAGGCTTGAAGCAGAACAGTTCTATAACCACTTCACACAAGCGACATTGGGCAAACAAGAAGAAAAGCCAGGATTTAGTGCTGATAGTTTACTGGCCAAGTCCCTGTATGGTGATGCTATGATGGGAGCGGTTAGGTTGGCAGATGATGGCTCAATGAAACAGGTTCTATTTCCTATCAATGTGACCTCTCTAGACCTGGCACCTACCACTGGCTCCTCCATGAATTCAAGCCTCTTCTAGGATACTCTCTGATCATGTTAATAGAATAGATCATTTATATGTTAATCCCTTGATTAATTGATTAGAAATGTGAAGATTATAAGTACCAAAAGATGCGAGCATGCAAATATCTGTGTGTGTGTGATTGTGGTGGATTTTTTTTGTAAATTTTAAATGATTAAATGTGATTGTGTTATTTGATTGTTTCTCCTTTCAATCTTTGTTTAGATGTGCTATAAGTTGATCACAAAAATCAATCATTCAATTTTAAAATACAACAGGAACACTTGTCTATTATTTATTTGTGTTAATGATGTTCTCTCCCTTATGTAAGCTGAACAATGCATCTTGTTAGATAATGTTAGGTCGACTCTTCTTTTTTTTTTACCTTCAAGTGTTCCTGTTGTATTTTCAGATCTCAAGGGATGCAAGTGCAGATGGATTATTGCCCTTGTATTGTACATCTAAGGATTATTGCCCTTGTATTGTACATACCACAAAAGCTTTCCCGTGAAGCATTAATTTGAATGGAGTAATGTTAAAACAGCACCATCTTGCCTTGTGGATGATACAAATATTTATGTTGTGTGGAGCAGGATTGTATCCTAAGCAAAAGTTTCCCAGCTATGGAGGATTGTGGGAGAAAGGATCATTTATATGAAGCTGTGTCAGCCAGTGGTGTGCTTGTTTATGTCATTGATAACAAGGAGCCAGTGTGTGTGAAGTTTAGCAGTACAGTCCAGGTGAAGGTGTTGTTTGACTGCCATGATGAAAAGTGGGAGGAGCCTCATCAGGTTAATGGGGACTTTCAGCCATTTCCTGCAGGTGGTGATGCAGGCAATGCTGCAACTAGCCTGGCAGGAGATGTGGCTGAAGATTCTATGCCTGTACAGCCTGATGGGGAGGGTGGGCACAAGAGTGACCAGGGTTTGTTGCAGGAAGTTGTAAGGAAACCTGGCAGACAACTGAGACAGTTACCTGACAGGAAGAAGGGGATTAAGAAAACAGATGTGAAGGTTGAGAACGAAGGGGATAGTGTGGGAAGTAAAGGACAATATCGCGAGAGACTGAGAAGCTCGGGCAAGAGAGTGAAGAAAATGAAGAGGAAAATCCCCATCGAGGCAGCAGAGGAGGATGTTTGTAAGATAGAGAGGGATGATGATTACGGTGATGACGACCAGCAGCCTCCTGTAAAATCTAGAAAACTTTTGGCAGAGAAAACTGTGAGGTGTGACTACTGTGAGCTGGAGTTCAAAACCCAGCTGGACTTCTACAACCACAGAAGGGCAGCAGAGTCTAAGCATACTTGTCAGGTGTGTGGGAAGACCAAGCCTTATGAGGCCTATCTCATTGTTCACATGCAGAAACACAAGACCTCAGACCATGAGAATAACGGGGAGTCAATAACATCAGGGAAGCAGTCGTCGGGTGCCGGGCGCAACTCTTCTAAGGATGTGAGGAAGAAGAACAAGAAAGAGAGGATGAAGTGTGACCTGTGTGGTCTGGTGGTGTCCAGCATGGACAGCCTGAAGATCCACACCATGCTGCACACAGGAGAATCTGCCTACCGCTGCTGTGTGTGCCAGGAGACCTTTTCCTCCCTGTCCTCCCGCCAGCACCACATGGACGTCCACGTATCAGCCCAGCGGTTCAAGTGCAACCCCTGCGGCCAGAGGTTTGTGTCCCGGGCTGACCTGGCCAAGCACCAGCTGACCCATGAAATAAAGTGCGCCCTGTGCGGGGAGGTTTTCCCCAACAAGACAAGCCGCACCTGCCACTTTAGGGTCTCTCACCCCAACGACATCTTGAAGTGCACGCTCTGCTCTAACATGTTTGCCACGGAGGAGGACCTGAACAAGCATCTCATCTACCACAAGAAAGGGAAGAAGGAGCAGTGCCCAGAGTGTGGGGTGGTGGTGTCTAAGCTCAAAGACCACATGCTGCTGCACAGCCAGCAGGCCCAGGAGAAGCTCTACGTGTGCGACCAGTGCCCCATGAGGTACCTCAGGAAGTCCAACCTGGACAGGCACATGAGGACCCACACCGGGGAGAAGCCTTACGCCTGCAACAAATGCACCAAGCGCTTTCGCAGCAACGGCATGCTGCGCAAACACCTGCTGACCCACACCCAGGAGAGGCCGTACCAGTGCGAGGTGTGTGGCAAGAGGTGCTCTCTGCGCTCTAACCTCAACATCCACATGCGGGTCCACAACACTGACCGCCACTACTCGTGTACACTGTGCTCTCAAGCTTTCAACCATAAAAACTCCCTGCATGGGCACATGAAGAACAAACACTCAAGGGAGCTTACCTTTCACAACCCTCACAGTGGGCTGGCTATTGAGAGTGGTCCCCCTGCTACACAAGACCAGATGATGCTGGGCACTCTTCTAAAGAAAGATGTGGGTATGGAGCAGAGAGAGACACACACGGAGCAGGCTGAGGCACATATGGAACATCTGGGCAGGCATATAGAACATAGACACCTAGGTCACTGCGACACACAGTTGGAACATATAGACAGACATGGTCTTGCTGGTGGTCAGATTGACCACAACAAGCACCTCGATGACAGACAAATGGCTCACTTAGACAGACATGGTGGCCAAGAGATGGAGCACATGGACGGCCATGCAGATTTTCTAGAGAGACAGCACCGACACCTGGAGCAGATGGACGCTCCTATAGAACTAGGACAGCCATCCAACCCAGAGCAGGAGCAGTACATGCACCAGGACTACAATCAGATGCACTTAGCACTGGGGTACAACTACAACAGCTAAATCTGTTGGCCTGTACTCTGTTAGCTCCAGGTTTATGTTACGTTGTGTTTGAGTTTCTGCTCGCGTGGGATGTTTGGGCTTTCTTTTGTTTCCCAATCTTGGGGTTTTCTAGAACTAATCCGTCCCATCTTATGAGGATGTCTATTTGGGATATTGTTTGAGAGGCCATCCCACCTTGTATGTTGACTGCATATGACTGGATAAGGATTGTTTATCCCTACTACAACCTGTTATGTTAATGTATGGCATAAAGATGATGTTATTTTAATGTATGGCATGAAGGTGATTTCAGCCCACTGTTGATGTATTGACTGAATGGACTTGTATTCTGAGCAATCCAATGCAGACTTTGTCATTTGATCTTACTTTTATCAATTTTGTATAATTCTGTTTTGGTTAAACTAGTAATTGCTGTTGAGATGAGAAATTTTTTTTAAAGTATGGTTTTAACCCTTTATCTACTGACGGTACTTATAAGTACCACTTTAATTAAATGCCTGTATTATTTTTAATTTAATACGAATTTTAAAAATTATTGAAGTAATTAATAGTATTATCTCCCCTGAGTCGCCGGTAGTATGAGGTATCAATGTTTTTTGAAAATTACTGGTGTGGCGCCATTTTCAGTGTCTTGCTATATCGGTAGTTCACAATTTTTCTGTACATTTCTCACATACGTTCTTGATTTCCCTTTGTTTTACCTTATTTTTCAAGTTTTCAACCCCAAATATTTTTTATTGGCAACTTCAATAGTCAGGCAAACGCATTTAACTTCTAGTTATACAATTTTGATCAAATTGTCTTTGTATTAGATCGATGTTTACAAGTGGACTTATAAGTACCGTCAGGGCACACGGTCATTTTTTTTAGGATTTTTAGAAAATGGCAGATTTATTTATGTGGAGTTACATAAATATTGTCTTGATAATTAATTATCGAAATGTACTCAAAAAATGGTAATTACACATTTATAAGAAGTTTAGCATATGGTTTACCTAAGAAATATTGTAATTACATGTTAATTTCTAGTAGTAAAAAAATAACAAGAATAAAGATATCAGTTGCAGGCTCGTTTACAAGGTTTAGTTTACTTCATTTGTATACCAAAGCCTAGTTCTAGTTGTAAGATTTAATTTGTTAGTTATATTTACTGCACTAAACTGTCTTGCCTACAACAACTAGCATTTACGTAATGTATACATGTAGGCTAGTAATAGTCCATACTTCTGCATATAGTATAGATCTATATGGTAAATTTTAATCAGTAAACAGAAAGGAGTAGGCCACTACGGCTATCCTAAACACATTGAGCTCACTTCTATTTATGAACTTTACACTGTAGTGTAGACTTGTCATAATATTCTAGTAGGCTATAATTATACTAGTATTACTTGTAGTTGCGTGCTGAATGACTAGGCTTTTGTTTGTTAATGCGGCTCATTGTACTAGCTATTGGAAGCTTCCAGCAAAATCATGTTCATTCCGGCAACCTTTGCTACACCAGAAAGACCACAGACAAGATTGAGGGTGACATGTCGACTATTTTTGCTGTGTTTGAGGTCTAAGATGTGTTCCGATAGAAAATCCAGTAAAAATTGTACTCAAAATATTCTTTTGTGCTGTATTTATGTGTGAAAATTACAAAAAGTGATTGTTATAATGATTGCCATGTTATTAGTTAATAAATTGTATCGTTTGTTCCTGTTTTGTAAAAAAAAAAATTTTGAAAAAAAAAATGTCCTAGTTTACTGACGGTACTTATAAGTACCAATATCTGTTTGGGCCATTAAAAATTTATGAAACGAAATTTCCTTCGAGATATGCTTTGAATGTGCCAAAAGCAATATAGTAACACATTGTTTAAGTAAAAATCTCATTCAGAACATAATTCCGTAAATAAAGGGTTAAGATGAAATCAAAATTAATTTCTTGATTCCCACACTAGTAATGTTTGGCATAAGCGTGTATTGAAACAACTAAACTGTTGTAATGGTCAATGTATGATCTCAAGTTGTTAGGTCAGGCAGGTCAATGTGTTGTGACATGCTGTTGGACGGAGGTGGTCAGTTTAACATATCTTTGTGTATGAGCCATGTATATCATGAACATTTCTCCTTGTGTGTGTTAATTAATGTAGAGGAAAACCTCACTGTGACTTGTGTATGTTACTACTTGAATTATACAAATACATCTGTATTTTATAAGCACAACTACTGTTCTCTTGTGTTATTTGCTTCCATGGTGTTAATCACTTAATGAGTTACAAATGGTGTAGCAGTATCAAAGAGCAATTACTCGACAACGTGACTGTTTAATTTACGTTTCGCCTGGTGACTTTTGCTTATTTGTGTGTGTTGTGTGTGTGGACTGAATATTTGTAATGACATGAGAGATGTCAGAATTCTGTGTGATAATTGGTCATTGTTTATGTAGACGTTCAAAGTACAGAACCAATTCCTATACAGTACATACATTTACATGTAGAGCAGGTGAATTAGAGTCATCGCTTAACGTCAATCAGAGGGCCATTTAAGCTATTCGGGATTATAGACGTCGTACAGCCTCAAACCCCGGATCCAAACTCAGGACTCGAGGTTACCAGTCCTGCGCTCTACCAATGCCGGTCCATCATGTAGATTAGTCAAATTTCCTTTTCGAATCTAACGGTCCTTAGTGTCCCCTACATATGAAGGGATACTGTGGCCAGCAGGGGTAGTGTGGTCAGCAGGGGTTGTGTGGTCAGCAGGGATAGTGTGGTCAGCAGGGATAGTTTGGTCAGCAGGGGTAGTGTGGTCAGCAGGGATAGTGTGGTCAGCAGGGGTAGTGTGGTCAGCAGGGATAGTGTGGTCAGCAGGGGTAGTGTGGTCAGCAGGGATAGAGTGGTCAGCAGGGATAGAGTGGCCAGCGCTATACCCAGCCGCTTTTACTTCGCTACCCATCAGAGCTGGGTGGACTCCATGACGTTGTACTGAATCGAACTCGAGACTTTCGGGCAAGCATTCGAGTGCTCTTTCGCTAGGCCACGGCGTCATGTCATGTACAATAACAATTTTAATTCTAGTCACTTCCTACACCATAGATGTGAGGTCTGTATCTCTCTAGCCTATTGTAAAGCAAATCCGGGTTCGTTCACGTGGCTTTGTTTACTCTCATCGATACAACACGTGTTGTAATGTAAATAAAGGATGTCCGCGTTCTAGTTTTTTTTCTCATCATTTCACTTCCTGGTTTAAAGACCCTGCATGCCATAGAAAGCTGACCAGCTGTTCACTCCGATTAACAGGACGTCCATACATGACGTCACGATATGATTGGTGAGGCGTGCTCCACGCCTTTAACCTAAAATAACCATAACTCTAGGTTTACTCTAGCGACTATAGGGCTGGTAAGTAGGTCACCAACCAGTTATATGGCTCATGCAGGTTTTATTGAACCGTAGTGCTGGTTGGTGACCTACTTACCAGCCCTATAATCGTTTGCTGATTTTTTAAGTCGTATTTCTTGAACACAACTAACCCTACTCACACACGTCGTCGTATACAGTGTTTATTCCAGGCATCTCTTGGGGAAAGGGGGGGGGGCTCCGACAAAAAGTCTACCCCCACTGAACGAAATGGAATTTATATAGAAAACAGTGTCGTCGTCGTCGACGTCCCCCCCCCCCCCCCCCGAAAATATCAAGTGCTCCGCCGGAGAAAAAAGTTTGGAAGAAACACTGGTCGTATAAGGCCTATGTCTGACACTTATCACCACAGCCGTGTGACGCCATTTGTGGGACATATGCATTCACTAGACTTTTAACGCTAAAGTTAGGTGTCCATGAAGATTAGGGTATCAGTTTGGTTTGTTGTAATTGTATTATCGAGCCCTGTAATGTAGCTAGTGTTACTAGCAATTCGAATTTCTGCTACGTAGATCTGGCTAAACGACTGGCGCAAAATCAACACGTAATTAGTTGCCCCACACACTTTGGGCGTGAGTAGACTAGTTATAAGGGGGGGGGGGGTGTCATTCGGTGTACCTGCTGTGTAAGGGCACGCACTGGCGACACAACAAACAAAACGAGCAATTATTACGCGCGGCTCCCGCCTCGATAGGTCAAGGCCGGTCTGACCTACATCGACTGGCTGTATTGTGGTGACGCGACGAGACGGTCTCGTTCTGTTGATCGGTAAACAAACAAGATGGCGGTCGGACAAACAACCGCGTAAGATGGTGCGCTTAGCCGTGACTGGTACAAGGTTTAGGATCTCTGACCGTCCACGCTTGCTGGTCCATTTGATATTCATGTAAAGGGCTAATCGTAATCGTCTGGCGGTAGTCTATACTATTTTATTGAAATGATAAATCGTTTACATTGTAGTAGGCTTAATAAATTAATATAAATACGCTTTAGACCTTGATTCGAAGTTTAAAAGGTATAATAAAGAATTGATATCTATATTATTGAAATGATAATAGTATAGAATCTAGTTTAAACCGTATTAGGGTTAATAAATTAATAAGCTTGAGACGAAGTTTAAAGGGTATAATAAAGAATTGATGATGACATCAGTTTGATGCGCAGTTGTGTAACAGTGACCACTGTGTGAGGTGGCTTTTGCTACCAACATTGTTTCTTCCAGGCATCTCTTCGGGGGGTGGGGGGGGGGGGCGGAGCCGAAGAAAGTCTACCACCCCCCCCCACCCCCCGAACGAAATGGATTATATATAGAAAATATGTCCCGTCCCCCCCCCGTCCCCGCGAAAACTTCAAGTGCCCCCCCCCCCCGGAGAAAAAAGTCTGGAAGAAACACTGTCAACAAATGACCCTTGTCAGTGCCTGAAGTTGTTACGTAGTTGACCCCAGGCCATGAAAACTTGTTACGGTGACCTTTGTCCGTGTCTGAAGTCAAACCAAGTTGACCCCAGGCCATTAAAACTTGTAACGGCGACCCTCGTTACCACAGCAGTTTCCAAATTTCCCATGGCCCGTGTCTTCTTATTCTGCTTTACATAGATTGTTACGAACACCATTAAAGAATGAGAGCAACCGTAACAAATACCATTAGATTCTATGAGATATGAGAATAACTGTAATAAACACCATACGAGTGATAGACTTATGGTGTTTGTTACAGCCAGTGTTATATTCTTATTATGTTGTTTGTTACCATTTCTCTTATAGAACAATACAGTAACTATCACAGACTAGTAAGGTGATTGTTGATTTTACTACCATATAATCTCATGATGTTTGATAAATTTACCACCTTGCAATTTCTGGTGTTAACTTTACTACATTAGACTCAAGATGTGTGTTAAATTTACTACCTTAGACTCTCATGATGTGTGTTAACTTTACTACCATAGACTCTCATGACGTGTGTTAACTTTACTACCATAGACTCTCATGATGTGTGTTAACTTTACTACCTTAGACTTGTATGGTGTTTGTTAAATGTACCACCTTAAACTCTACTGTTAAATTTACTACCAAATACTCTCATGGCGTGTGTTAAATTTACAACCTTAGACTACTACCACAGTCTGTTGTAGTGTTTAACTTTACTACCACAGAGGCAAAGACTCTGATGGTGTTTGTTACCATCACTCTCACGTGACCCCCGCGTCACTTGGCTGCCGGGCTTCTCACGACCAGAACAGACTGGCCACTGTTGTACGCAGCTACTCACGCCTTAGACACTCCCCCCTCCCCCCAGTGACCTAACCCCCCCCACTCCGTGTTGAGCAGACGACGACGAGCGACGCTGGTACACAAATTCTCACCCACTTTTTCACAGGGAGTAGCGGGCCAGACGGCCGTAACATATGGCGAGAGAACCAACTTGTTTTCGTCTACAGATTTGTTCGAGAAAAAAAAACGGACCAAAAATTCTGAATGCTGTAACAGGTGAAGGGGGGATAAAACGATGTATTCGTAAACTCTAGTTACCCGATTTTTTTCCCCCCTCCACACAGTCGAATGACGTGTAATCGTGCCGATGCTCGTGTATCGAAACAAGCTGATTTTTACGTGTGTGTGTGTGTGTGCGCGCGCAGTTTTCCCTTCGCCGTGTAAACATCGGGGTTTCTGTTTAATATTGCAGCACACGCCAGATTTTTTTTCAAGGCCTGGCACCTGGATTTGGTGTGCAATTTTTCAATTTCTTCCTTCATATCTCCGATGTTAATTGACTGTGGTGTGTTAGATTAGCCCAGGCTTTACGCCCTAGGGCGACGTCTTGGATGACTTTGATTTCATCGTACGGACTGGGGGAGGCTGCTGTTTCAAGTAAGTTGTGTAGTGATTTTTTAAATTATTATTATTCCATCATCTTAGAGAAAAACAGACCATTTGTTCAACTTTATTTATAATTTAGACCTTAGGTGTATATCCTACTCAGTTGTAGCCTTTAAGTCATTAAGGAAATCTATATCGCTTTCTCCATCAAAGTGGACTATTAATTTAATGAAATTTAAGACCACGTAAAATTTTAGATTCTAATCACCATACTAATTAATTCGACATTCTTCTACTAGATCTAATTATCCAACTGTCTCCTGATCGTAACCTTTACTGTAAAACTATTACTACGCGCGCCAATGGCATTACACAAGCTATTGAGTACGAATTGAATTTTTTTATAAAACGGCAATATAATTTTTATGAATTATCACCGATATAATCACAAGATTAGTATCCTACATAAAAACACTACTACTTTCCCGATAGGAATAATTTGATCGCTAACTACTAAGGGCGAGGGAAACACCCATTCTGGTTGACGCCCACTATTTAAAATTGTGAAACATTGACGGGATCAAAAGGTAACGGGCCTAGAGTACACGCTATAAAAAACAGCGTGATTCAACGGAGTTCGGCTTGACTGGGTTAAGGGGAGAACAAATTGTACCCAGCTGATAACAGAACACAACACATGATAACAACACACAACTCATGATAACAACACACAACACACGATAACAACACACAACACATGCTAACAACACACAACACATGATAACAACACACAACACATGATAAAAACACACAACACATGATAACAACACACAACCCATAACACACAACACACCATAACAATACACGACACACGATAACACAGCACATGATAACACACAACACATAACAACACAACACGTGACACACAACACATAATAACAACACAACACGTGACACACAACACATAATAACACATAACACACAACATATGATAACAACACACAACACAGGATAACAACACACAACAATGTTTTTAAGTTGGTGAATTTTACCCATATCACTTCCACTACATATTTGGTTTAGTAGACAAACCTCCACTCGTATAGAATTGTCATTTATGCCGTCCATACGATTATACACTGATTTATGTATATTATGCATATGCAAGCGTAGTCTTTATCGAAATATATTGCCACGGCATACATATATAGTTTATATTCGCAATCAACAATATTTAATGCCTACAGTATTTTACTTACACTTGGACATATTTTTGTTTTTAAAAATATACAAATATACAAAACTATTGTTAGAGGTTTAAAAAATATAAACCTTACATAATGGGTGGGGAAAGGGGGTGGGTGGGGAAAGGGGGGGGGGTTAAATTCCACTTGTGAGCCGTAAAGTCGGGCTACGCCCCTGACACTGACATAAAGAGGTCACTCCAGCGGTAGCCCCCCGTCGTGCAGTAGAGCAGGGATTGTAAACAACACAACTAATTGTAAACAACACAGCTGATTGTAAACAACACGGCTGATTGTAATCAACACAGCTGATTGTAAACAACACAGCTGATTGTAAACAACACGGCTGATTGTAATCAACACAGCTGATTGTAAACAACACAGCTGATTGTAAACAACACAGCTGATTGTAAACAACACGGCTGATTGTAATCAACACAGCTGATTGTAAACAACACAGCTGATTGTAAACAACACGGCTGATTGTAAACAACACAGCTGATTGTAAACAACACGGCTGATTGTAAACAACACATCTGATTATAAACAACACAGCTGATTGTAAACAACACAGGTGATTGTAAACAACACAGCTGATTGTAAACAACACACGTGATTGTAAACAACACAGCTGATTGTAAACAACACAAGTGATTGTAAACAACACGGCTGATTGTAAACAACACAAGTGATTGTAAACAACACAGCTGATTGTAAACAACACAGCTGATTGTAAACAACACAGCTGATTGTAAACAACACAGCTGATTGTAAACAACACAGCTGATTGTAAACAACACAAGTGATTGTAAACAACACAGCTGATTGTAAACAACACAAGTGATTGTAAACAACACGGCTGATTGTAAACAACACAAGTGATTGTAAACAACACAGCTGATTGTAAACAACACAGCTGATTGTAAACAACACAGCTGAGTGTAAACAACACAGCTGATTGTAAACAACACATCTGATTGTAAACAACACAGCTGATTGTAAACAACACGGCTGATTGTAAACAACACGGCTGATTGTAAACAACACGGCTGATTGTAAACAACACAGCTGATTGTAAACAACACAGCTGATTGTAAACAACACGGCTGATTGTAAACAACACATCTGATTGTAAACAACACAGTTGATTGTAAACAACACAGCTGATTGTAAACAACACATCTGATTGTAAACAACACATCTGATTGTAAACAACACATCTGATTGTAAACAACACATCTGATTGTAAACAACACATCTGATTGTAAACAACACGGCTGATTGTAAACAACACAGCTGATTGTAAACAACACATCTGATTGTAAACAACACATCTGATTGTAAACAACGCATCTGATTGTAAACAACACAGTTGATTGTAAACAACACATCTGATTGTAAACAACACATCTGATTGTAAACAACAATAATAAAACACAACCGAAGATGCTAGTAATTAACACGGCTGATTATACTTGTATACAACACAGGTGATTATACTTGTATGCAACACAAGCAAAGATACTTGTATACAACACAACTGATTATACTTGTATACAACACAACTGATTATACTTGTATACAACACAACTGATTATACTTGTATACAACACAACTGATTATACTTGTATACAACACAACTGATTATACTTGTATACAACACAACTGATTATACTTGTATACAACACAACCAAAGATAAACAAACAACTCACGCGGCAGCTACTGACCGAATTAAATGGGTTATACGGTAAAGGTCATTGACACAACAAAACGGGTATGGTAAGGCCAGTGACTTGAATGCACCACTACACTTAAAGTATTGCGCAACGTTTTTTTTTAAAGCAGTAATTACGGTAAACAATATAATCAATTTTAGCCATAAATCGCTCTATATAGACTATAAGACTTAGTAAGATCATTTTAAAAGATGGTGTAGAATTTAGTATAGGCTTTACTTTAAGATTGTCTAAAAAGATTAAATCGCCCAAAACCTCTAACAAGATATATAGGATTTTATAGGATCTTTATTTCTAAACAAGTCGAGTTAACGAGTTCATAAAATAGTTTCAAAACAATGTGAACCATGTTTTAAAGCAAAACAAAGCAAAGACCAACAGTCAACTTTTGACTATTTTAAATGTTAATACAGGTTATAGCCTATTAATAACAAAGTTTAGTTGTATCAATCAATTTCTAAAGAATTTAGAAGGGATAAGGGTGCTGGGTCAAAATATATCCTGTACCTTAGTTCGACATACACCTTGAACCAGGGTTCGACATACACCCTGCACCACGGTTCGGGGTTCGACATACACCCTGAACCAGGGTTCGACATACACCCTGAACCAGGGTTCGACATACACCCTGAACCAGGGTTCGACATACACCCTGAATCAGGGTTCGACATACACCCTGAACCAGGGTTCGACATACACCCTGAACTGGGGTTCGAAATACACCCTGAACTGGGGTTCGACATACACCCTGAACCAGGGTTCGACATACACCCTTAACCAGGGTTCGACACACGCCATGAACCAGGGTTCGACATACACCCTGAACCAGGGTTCGACATACACCCTTAACCAGGGTTCGACACACGCCATGAACCAGGGTTCGACATACACCCTGAACCAGGGTTCGACATACACCCTTAACCAGGGTTCGACACACGCCATGAACCAGGGTTCGACATACACCCTTAACCAGGGTTCGACATACACCCTTAACCAGGGTTCGACATACACCCTGAACCAGGGTTCGACATACACCCTTAACCAGGGTTCGACACACGCCATGAACCAGGGTTCGACATACACCCTGAACCAGGGTTCGACATACACAAAAGAGCCCAGCAAATAAAGATTTTGTTGTCAGACATTGGTATCATTAATTTCTCCAGTCTTTTACTTTCTAATTTCCAGTGAATTTCAATAAAAGACTAATTATTATAGAGGTTTTTCTATTTATTCAATGATATCACCCTACCCGTGATTCATGTCGGTCTGACATGCGCAGTGGCTGACCCTGCTGTTGTGTCTACTCTCGTGATGTTTGTTTTGATTTGTGTGTCCACGTGACGATGATGTCACTGCACTCGACTATTAGTACATCAAAAGTCAGTGAAGGGTGGGGGGGGGGGGGGTTTAACTGACATGACTTTTTGTTTCGACACGCTGGTGGAGCGAGTTTTTTTAGCTCACTTGTATTTCCAGTTAAAATATTATTGTTTGTGTTTAACCCGGCTCAAGCCGACCGGGAAACTTAATTATCGTAATTAACCAGTTTTTATAATTAGCCAGTTTTTCCATGAGTTGAATATATATTTCTAAGAAATGTCTTTATGTTATTAAAACACTTTGATAGAATCGTATTGAATCATCTAACCTATTAACAACTAAGAAACCCAATGAAAATATGAACGCACGTATTATAACATATTTATTAACTAGTTAAAGCGCAGAATACGCCCCCCCCAACCCCCCTCTCTTTCCCTCACTTTACTTCGCCCTCCATTCATTTCTATACCCCTCGGTACACCCAACTCCTCTGACGTCCTTACCCCCACCTATCGTCGTCCTTACCCCTACCTATCGTGGTCCTTACCCCCACCTATCGTGGTCCTTACCTCCACCCCTGACGTCCTTACCCCCACCTATCGTGGTCCTTACCTCCACCCCTGACGTCCTTACCCCCACCTATCGTGGTCCTTACCTCCACCCCTGACGTCCTTACCCCCACCTATCGTGGTCCTTACCTCCACCCCTGACGTCCTTACCCCCACCTATCGTGGTCCTTACCTCCAC